CTGGGCGTGCAAGGCGAGGACCTTTAACCACTTGCGCCACCGCGCCGGGCCCCCTCCATTGCTTTTCAAGGCCACTAGCAGCAAGTTGGATAGGAAGTGGGGTAGTTGGGAATTCTGGCACTGCAGGCAGAGGCTTAGGTTGATGCACCACAGCACTCGCCCCAAGAACGGCTCATTTTAAGCAGAGTAGACTAGAAGCCAAATGAGGGAAATCTGGTTATCTTTTGGATCACGTGGAATTTGTGATCCTAGAACTGTGAGTGAAGACAACCAGCAGGCATTAAGGAGATGAGAAACAGATTAGGAAATTGCCTGCCATCAGGAGGAGTGGGTGGGGAAGGAGGGGCACAAAGACTCCATCTCTAGCAGCTCCTCTACCTGGTAGGTGAGCAAATCAAAGATTTCAGAAGGGCACCAGAGGAGGGATTTGCCAATTGAGCGCCAAGTACCTGCCCGAGGCCACAGAGCCTGTGAAAGAAGATTGTTTTCAGAACAAAGGGGCAATCATGCCAAGTCACCTCATGCCAAGGAAGCCAAAGGGCTGACAGTACCAGGAGTGAAGCTGTGGGGAGGCGTGTCCTGTGGTGGCTTATGTGACACAGGCTACACTGAGAGGAAAATGAAAACAAACAAAATGCTATATTATATTTTGAATAAGTAAAGATGCACATAAATCAAAAGTTGCTAAATAGCTAAAGAAAAAAATGGGTCTCTTAATTACTCCTTAGGTTGTGTTTAAGATTTGTTTATTCAAAAGTTAAAGTTGGGGAAAGAGAGTGATCTTTCATCTACTGGTTCACTCCCCACACGGCTGGGCCAGCGAAAGCCAGGAGCCTGAACTCCATCTGTGCAGAGATCCAAACATTTGAGCCATCTTCCACTGCTTTCCCAGGCACATTAGCAGGGAGCTGGATTAGAAACAGAGCAGCCAGGACTCAATACCCATATGGGATGCCAGTGAAGCAGATGGTGGCTTAACCCACTACTACAGCACTGGTCCCATCCTCTGGTTTCTTATATGTCCTTCTGGGATTTTTCATGATACTCCATGAATCTATATGCTCCTGCTTTAGAGATGAAATCCTGAGTGATAGGTATCTGGCTGATGTGACCTTTAGTTGTTTTTCTGGCCAAGTCTATCGATGTCATCTTCTAGCCAAGACTTTTGGCACTTGAGGTAGCTTAGAAGTTGTCTGGCTTCCCACTTCCGCTCCATGCCCCGCCCTGCCCCCTGCCAGTTCTTCAGCAGTGGAAATCTAAGAGCAGAAAAAGCATATTTGTTCTCTACCATCACATGGCAGAAAAGAAGAATCTGGAACTCAGGGGCTTGTTTCCTGCCCCATGTTCTTTCTGGTACCTCCCAACCTTTACCTCCCTTCAGTGGTATTTAAAAATGGCAGACATTTTGCTCATTATAGGAGCCTAAGACAAGCTAGTTTAAACAGGGAATAAATAAAAGGAATTTGTCTTAGGGATATGGGAAAAATCTCAGTGCCATTCCTGGGAACCCAGGGGCTGGGTTTCTCTGTTGGGCAATGACACTGACGCAGTGTTTCAGTCATTCCAGCCACACACTTGGCATTGTACCACATAGGTCTCATCAGAAGTGCTGTGAGGCTTGATGAGGTAATCCTTATAAAAACCTCTGAGTTACTGGGATTAGAGTCACCACTGTGCCCGGAGATGACAGAGGGTCAGACACACAACAGACTTTTCTGCCACACACTGGCTAGTGAACTGCTGGGACACTTCAGCTAACTTGACCTCTTACTGTTCAGTCAGTCAGCTAAGGCACTTGCCCTCCTTACTCCCTCAGCCTGGTGGACTCAAAGTTTTCTTTCTCTAGTTCCTTGACATTCCAAGCAACATTAGTCCTTTGCCCTTGGGTGGCCCAATGTACCTAGTGAGAATATTAACAGGGCTGGGGTGATTTGGGCAGGTCATAGACACAGAACAGGGCCTGGCCCCTACAAGTCCTTCATATTTGCTGCTGTTGGGCAACCAATTGAAAGGCTATGCATACATACTTTGTATTTAAATAAGCAAGATGAGGTCTTAAGGTGGAGCTCATTGGTTTAGAATTTCTTTACATTTGAGGGGATACAGTGAAGAGGCCTACAGAGGAATTATCAGGGTTTCCACCTATCGAGATACAATGCAACAAGGAAGGGGAGCTGGGCTGTGCAGACCATAGGATCTCCAAGTTTTCTCCCTAACAATTTGCATCTTCAGTTGTCCTGTTCAAAATCACATTCTCAATAGTTGAGTTTTCAGTCCATATGGTTGATGAATGAATGAATAAATGAATGGGCTTCTGAGTCTACCCAAAGATGGAGAAATCAAGGATGGGCCTAAGGAAGGAAATCTGGCTTCATTTTGGATTTTTGAGGAGAAACAGGAAAGACATCTAAAAATGTATTTGGAATACTCTGGTTTCTCTTAAGATGGTGTAAATCTTTGCCTTTTACTACAATGTATTTGGAACTGTTGTCCAATGAACGGAGTTCCTGTGCCTGTGCATGAGAAGTGGCTGCCTGGTTGGGACCCCCAGGTGGACAGGGTTACAGGCCTTGTTTTTGTCTCCCACAAAGTTCGACGCCTTAAGGAGGTTGGGGAGAACATTCCTTCTTGGCAGTGATATCCCACAGAGGCCCCGGGTTGGAAAAGGATCATTCTGAAGCTGTCACCAAGAGCACTCCCATAGTGACCGTCTCCCTGAAAAGGATCCCCCCCCCTTTGTTCCCAGGTGTTTCCCGAGGACCCCGAGGCATTTCCCAGCCTCATCTAGACTAAAAGCTGCACATTGATGGTTGTGTTCCCCATCCCCCTTTCTTGAACCTGCTCCTTCCCAGTTAGAGGCACAGGAACACCATCCCCTCCAAGGCACCGCCACCCAACAGAAGACAAATTGGGCAACAGTCCTTGCCTCTGTCCCCTTCTCTTCCTCATCTTGTTTATTTAGGTTGAAATCTTTTTCACTGACAATCAACAAGCACTTAGCTAGCACACATCGTGCCAGGGCACAGGCATATAAAGGTGATTAGGCAAGGGAACCTGGACGGGGCTCACAGATTCTTAGTAGCTCTTCCACCTCTCTAGGTCACAGGTTTCTCTGAATCTGCTTTGTGTGCTCAACAATCCAGCTGAGGTTGTCCTCGACCACACCATGCGCAGCAGAGCTCTGCACACATGTTCTCTGTACTCTCTCTTACAGCACTTACCACATTGCTGGCATGTTAAGATGCAGACATGTCAGCCTCCACACTCCACTGAGGGAGCAGGCCCAGGGGAAGGTGCTGGAAGACAGGAGCCAAATTTGTGATCGAACCAGAAGCCAGACCTGGGTGAGTCAGTCATGAGACCTTGGTCTTGTCACTTAATCCCCAGAATCCTCGGCCCTGCAGCTAGAACCAGCAAATAAGAACGAATCCTACTTTGTAGAGTGTAAATGCAAATTATCATGTGAATATGCTTTGTGGACTCTTCCTTAAGCTAATTTTACTATTCCTGTGTGATCTAGCAAGTAGCACCGCCCAAGAGGAAAACACTATTAATTACAGAAAAATCACGCCAACCACATCGTAGCATGTTACTGTCACATACGTTCTTTCTCTATCCCACATGGTTAGCAAGGTGTTTATCTGCCCTACCAGGTTCAGACAGGGGTTAAACCGAATCGGAGGGGCCTGTCTGCTGGTGGAAATGCCCTCGGGATCAGAGAACAGAAGCAGACTAGCACTTGCCAGCCTAAGTGTGATAGTGCCACATTTCAAGCTTGGTTCTGCCTTTCCTGGCAGACAGGGGGCTTGGGGCCATTTAACTTTTCTCTGAGCTTCTGTTTTCCCATCTATGAATACAGAGCTTTCTGACTAAAATTAAAAAGATATAAAAATGTACTAAAACTTAGAAAATGTACTAAAACGAGCTGTTAGGAATTAGCGCATGAAATCAGCTCAGTGTTAAAATAACGGTCAGTTATCCTTGGACCCCCACAACACTGAGCAAACAGCGACCTGCCATTGACTGAGCAGTAGTGACTACCATTGGAAGGGGACGGGAGGGGAGAGTGCCCTGGGAGCATCAGCGACCCCACCAGTGTAATAGCCCTGACTGGGAAGTCTTCAGCACTGTCAGGGAGGGCTTCCTGGAAGAGGTGCCTTCCTGTGAGGCAGTTTACACCAGGTGGACAGCAGGGAACAAGCCACGCGAGTTCGAGTTCAGTGGGGATTATGAAGAGCCGACTGACAAAGCCACAAAACCTTGTGGACGCTGGGTGTGAGTTTACTTTGCAAAATATTTTTCCCCCTTGAGGCAATGGGTCCATCTTTCCAGGATTAAAGTTTAAGTGGAAGGCATGCAGTTTAAAAAGGATCTCGGGTGTCAAGAAACGAGCATCGTCTTGGAGCGCCACCGATCCCGTCCCAGATAAACCCGTGTGTGACTCAAATCACCTCACCTCTCCATAATCTCGTGGGTCGACCAGAGATGACCCCCACCACGCCTCAGGGTCACTGCGAGGACTCCACAGGACTGCGTGCAGGTCCAGGTCGCAGCGGAGTGTGAGCCACACCATAGGCACTGACAACAGCCACCGCGTCGTTACAACAGGAAACCCTCGGCCAGGGTTCCCCCTCGTCCCTCCCTCCCTTCCCTTTCCTCTTCCAACGCGAGGACGCGGGCGCTGTCCACCCGAGCGTCGCTCCCGCCGCTAGCTTGAAACGCAGCCACTCACAACCCCGGGCGCGAGCCAGAACGAGGCCGCGCATGCCCAGTGCGCCCCGGCGGGCTCGAGGCGGCGACGGCGGGCGGGGCCGGGACGCGCCAGGGCGCATGCGCAGTGGTCGCTTCTGCTCTTTCCATCCAATTCCGCAGCCGAAAACCGCAGCGCGGTGGCGGCGGCGGCGGCGGGCGGCTGAGGGGGAGCGGCTGGGCGGCCGACGCGGGGAGGGGAGAAATATTACAAGGACGTAACAGATAAGGCAGGAACTGAGGGCTGGGGATTTGCGGCGTCTCGCGGGCCTCCGCCTTGGCCGTCAGCAGGGAGGAAGAGCCGGGAGGCGGCGCAGCGGCGGCGACGGAGGGCAGCGCTGAGGAGGCGACGGGCCGCGGGCGGCCTGGGAGCCGCAGTGATTTTTTTTCTTTTTCCTTTTTTTCTGACGTTTTCCTCGGCCTCGTCTCCCGCGGGCCGCGGCCGGGTTGCGCCGGGAGGGCCTCCCTCGGTCCCCGCGCGGCCTGAGGGCTCGCTCCGTTCCGAGGACAGGGAAGAGGGAGGCCAGGGCTTGCGGGCACGGCCGATGGCGGGGACATTTCCCACAACATGATGGTTGAGGACCCCCGGCCCCCAGACACACACAGCTCCCCTCCCTGAAAATTCCGGGCCCTTCCAAGCCTGCACCCTCCCCCAAGCCCGTGTGACTCGACGGAGACAAAGGGGAGGCGGCTTCGCTCACACACGCGCGCTCGCGGGGCGTGGGGCTCGGGCGGACGGACGGACGGACGGCCGCGGCGCCGCCACATTCCTATGCCGGGGAGCGGCGGCGGCTCCCGCGAGCGGCGGCGGCGGCCGGGCGGCCTCGCCCCGGCCCCGATGGTCTGAGCACCCCGATCCCCGCCATGTGAAAGGTGGGAGCCGGGACAGCCCGAGGAGCCGCGGCCGGCAAAGATGGGGGATGCTGCAGACTCCCGGGAGCTGAGGAAGACGTTCATTGTTCCAGCCATCAAGCCCTTTGACCACTATGATTTCTCCAGGGCCAAAATCGCCTGCAATCTGGCCTGGCTGGTGGCCAAAGCCTATGGGACAGGTCAGTGTGGGCTTCCCTCTTCCTCCTCAGCATGTGCACAACCTGGTTTTCTTTTTTTTTTGTTCCCGATCCGCGGTGTTCCCCCCCCCCCCCCCCCGCCAGCCTGCCTCCCCCATGCATGTCTTCTCGAACAGGTTCAGGGAGATGCTGGGAAGCTGTGGAGAAAGGGAGGGCAGGTTGGGTCGACATTTGCTTGACTGATCAGGTGGGCTCTGGCCCGATTCCTTTTGTCGGGCAGTCCGAGGGTGTTTGGCGTTTCTTCAGTGAGAGCTGTCGTGCTTTTCCGTAGAGTGATTTTTCAGTAGTGGCATTTTTCTCGTGCTAGCCCCGTTTCCCCCTCGCTCCTAATTGTGACTATACCACGGGGAAATCTGAGTGGGCTCCTTCAGCGGGCATGGATTTTGACATTTGCAGCGATGGCCGCTGTTCCGGCTTGGCCGGCACTGGAAGCTGGCCTGTTGCTGAAATCCCTGGGCGTTCTGGAAGCCTGTGTCGGGCCGCCCTAGCAGAACAGGGGCTGACTAAGGCGGTGCTGGGCTTGGTGACCGCGGGCACTGTTTCCGTAGGATCACAAGCTTCTTGCCCCCCCCCCCCCCCCATGTATGTTATCATCAGAAAGGAAGAGAAACAACTCCCTACCTTGGGCATTTCTTTTTGGGAGAAGGGGGCTGTTGCCGCACACCTTGTATAGTGCAGTGGCGTGTCAACGCTCCGTGCGATGCCCAGGCCTACAGAAGAGCAGGACCGGGCCCCTGCACTGAGGAGCCCGTGTTCCGGAACGGGGAGAAAATGTAGAGCTGCTTCCCTGCGAGATGCCCCTGTAATTTAGCCTGGCAACTTCGGAGACTCATTTTGCAAGAGTTGTGCTCAGCACTGAATGGATATTGGATGCAGAAACTCTTTGTTGAGAAGCTTTAGCATTTGCAACTTTCCTTCACATGTTCCTTTAGATATTTATGGAAGACTGCTTACATCCAATTTGTGTGGCTAAATTATTTAGTTCAGTTTTGCTGCTTCATACACAGATGAATGTTTTCAGTGCTGGCCACAAGTGAAGTAGTAGGTGAATCTCAAATCTCAGTGCTTGGAAAATGATTTGAATTATTTTTTGGGGAAAATTTCACATAGATGTGATTTTTGTTTAATTTTGTTTGAATTCTCAGATTGAACTGACACCAGACAAAATACAGTAAGTCCTTTTGAAAAAACAAATTTTAAATGCTTCTTTGAAGCTAAGTGTCAAGGAAAACATGGGAGAAAGCACTTTGGTTTTTTTCCTTCTGATTTTCTGACACTAGTGATACAACCAGTGAGAACAATAGATGTATTTTGGTTTTAACTTGAGCCATATACTGAAACTAATCTCTATCTGGAAGGTAAATGAAGGCCATTTAAGTAATCTTAAAAAAATGGAGATGGAAATTTATATAGTAACCTATGTGAGAAGTAACATTACAAAATAGGAGGCAGAGAGAAATTATTTTCTTTCCATTAAAACTGAGAGGACACCTAGAGTACACATGTCAAAATTCTGCTGGCGTGCATGAAGACAGCCAGCCAGAAAATGGCCTACTTTCTGGATGTGTGTCAGGGAAGTTGCTAGCTTCAGGACCACTGGACAAGGCAGATTAAATGCGTTTGAAGAAGAAAGGAGGTGAAAGGGGCGTAGTGTTAGTGGAATCTGTCATTGGCCAGGCGCTCTGCTAGATGCTTTGTGTTGTTGTATGCTTGGGGTTCACAACAACTGGGATAGGTAGCGTGCTTCCCATTTTAAAAAACACACCAACCAGTGCCCAGAGGGGTTACAGCTTCCTGCTGTCAGATTGCTGGGAAGAGGCAGAGACGTGTCCATTAGAGAGCTGACCTAGGGAATAAGGTGTGAGTAGAGGGGCACATACTTGTTAGATATGTTACTTCATTCATTCCTCAGGAACTGTACAAATGAGGGGGTACACAGATTAGTTTTCACAAGAGTAAACCTCTGGCCTCTGGGTCTTCTGCCTGCCAGCTTGTTTTCAGACTCTTTTACTGTGTCTTTCTGTGGAGTACCGTCCATCTGCAAGTATGTAAAATGTGCCTGCAATGTGCATTAAAATCTTTTTGACACATAATACTTACTTAAGCCTTTTTTTTTAAAGAGAGATTTTAAAAAATTTATTTGGGGGGGGGTACAGTGTCATAGTATATAGTAGGCTCAACTTCCACCCCGGTGTTGTGTATGGGCACTGGTTCGTGTCCTGGCTGACTGCTTTCCTGTTCAGCTCCTTGCTTGTGGCCTGGGAAAGCAGTGAGGCTGGCTCAAGTTCTTAGGCCCCTTCACCCACATGGAAAACCAGAAGAGGCCCCAGGCTCCTGGCTTTGGCTCAGTTAGCTCATGCTATGGCAGCTTTTATGAGAGTGAACCAATGAATAGAAAAATTATCTCTTTTAAATAAAAATAAAATAAATCTTTTGAAAAAAATTTAAATTTAGGGCCCAGCATGGTGGCCTAGTGGCTAAAGTCCTCACCTTGCACACACTGGTATCCCATGTGGGCACTGGTTCTAATTCTAACAGGCCTGCTTCCCATCCAGCTCCTTGTTTGCGGCCTGGGAAAGCGATTGAGGATGGCCCAAAGCCTTGGGACCTGCACACATGTGGGAAACCCTGAAGGAGTTCCTGACTCCTGGCGTCGGATCAGCACAGCTCCGGTCGTTGCAGCTGCTTGGGGAGTGAATCATTGGACAGAAGATCTGTCTGTCTCCTCTCGGTATATCTGATTTTCCAATAAAAATAAATAAATGTTTATAAAAATTATTTGAAAGGTTGAGTTACACAGAGAGCGGGAGAGACAGAGCTATTTTTGTATGCTGGTTCGTTCTGCAGATGGCTGCAGTAGCTGGTTGGGCCCGGCCCAAGCCAGGAGCTTCTTCCTGGTCTCCTACATGGATGTCAGGGAGCCACTCACTCACACACTTGGGCCATCACCTGCCCTACCAGACCATTATCAGGGAGCTGGATTGGAAGTGGAGCAGCGGGGACTTGAACTGCTCATAGCATGGCTCTAAAGCCTTTTGTCCTTTTTTTTTCTTGCTTTCTCAATAGGCTGCTCTAAACTCTGTTGCAGGTGGTTTAGATGAATATTGTTGGTACTTAACTTTCGCCTTGGTATTAGTTGGAATGGATAAGGAGATCATTTCAAGGGGGGGTGAAAAGCAAGTTTATAAGACTCTAAAAGATTGACTTCATAAGAAATTAATACACTGAAGAATATTGTTTGTGTATTTTGTTTACTGCTTGTCAACAGTCTTTCAAAACAAATGTAAAAGTTAATAGCAAAAAGTAAGATTTTAATTTTTTTATGTGAATAGTCTCCAATAGCCACTAACACTGTTGTCTAAAAGCTTAGTAGAGCATATCAATTTTTAAAAAAGACCAATTTCAAGTTTGATTTACTAAAAATCTTCTTTCTTAACAATGATACAGAGTTTTCAGACACACTTTTCTGATAGGAACTTTCTAACTTTTGGCATTGAAATAGTTAGTAATAGGGCCATATGTTGGAAAAGTCTTAGCAAATCACATCTAGAAGTAAATTGTGGGCATATAATGAAGTAATTGAACCATTAAAAAGTAAAGTACTGGCATTATAAACGCTTGCAAAACAGTTATAGAGGATTTTTTTTAAAGATTTATTTTATTTTTATTGGAAAATCAGATTTACAGAGAGAAGCAGAGACAGAGAGGAAGATCTCTTATCCATTGGGTCACTCCCCAAGTGGTCATAATGGCCAGAGCTGAGCCGATCCAAAGCCAAGAGCCAGGAGCCTCTTCCGGTCTCTCACATGGGTGCAGGTCCCCAAGGTTTTAGGCCGTCCTCCACTGCATTCCCAGGCCATGAGCAGGGAGCTGGATGGGAAGTGGAGCAACTGGGACACAAAGCAGTGCTCACATGGGATCCTGGAGTGTATAAAGTGAGGACTTTGCCCACTAGGCTATAGCGCCCAGCTCAGTTACAGAGTATTAACGTGAAGTCTTGCTTGAGTAGCTCCTTTTAAGGCTTCTCTTTACGCTAAAAATATTAAAAATAGCTTAGATGTTAGCAAGTTACTTTGTGAAAGAATGCAGACAGTGTGTTTAAAAACAAAACATGTGTTTACTTGTTAGAGTGAGAGAGAATGCACACACAAACGTGTTCTTCCACTTCTGTAGTTTCCTCCCCAGATGTCCCTTATAGCCAGGACTGGGCCACACTGAACCTGAGTCAGGAACTGTGCTCCCCCTGAGTCAGGAACGTGGACGGTTGGGACCCAGGTACCTGGACCATGAAGTGTTGCGTCTCAGGTGCATTAGCCATAGCTGAGTTGGAAGTTGAGGAGTCAGGTCTCCTAACTTCACTCAGGAGAAATGGGTTCCAAGTAGTGGCTTAACCTGCTGTGTCACTGGGCTAGCCCCAGTAGATACAATTTTAATCAGATGAAGAATAAGCTTATGCAGATGAATTTGAAAAAAATAGAGATACTCTAATTAAGGGATTGTGAAAGAGGAGAAAGTTAAACCAAAGTAGCCTCTACTTCTGTGTTTAAAGAGCTTAGCTCAATTTAATCCGTGATATTACTGAATTTACTTCCCTTAAAGTCCTTCAGGGAAATGGTATGTGTGTACAGAACCTCTGTGAAACTCTACTAAATTCCTGAATTTGAAGTTCTTGATGTAGAATCGAGGCCTTTCAGTCTAATAACCATTCCTCCTTATATGCCATTTAGTTTAGTGATAAAATTATTTGCTACTAGAAACATATCTTGATCTACTTCTTGGCATATCCCAACAGATCTTGTCAAAAATCCTACGTGAGGTCTGACGAGACATGTATGAAAATGGAGAGAGCAATGGGTAGAGTTATGGTTAAGAGAGACTTGGCAGGGCCTGGCACGGTGGCGCAAGTGGTTAAGGTCCTCGCCTTGCACGCCCGGGATCTCATATGGGCACTGGTTCTAATCCCGGCAGCCCCGCTTCCCTTC